AAATGCTTGGGTGATTCTACTAGTATGTTTAGGATCATTGTCCTGTTGGAATCGCAAAACATCCCTAGTATCTCATTAACCTCTTGAACTTGGTTTCTAAGTTTATTTACATAAAAATTCTCATCCATTTGACTAAAGCAAAAAAGAATCGTTTTTTTCCATTTACACAAAATCCGCCCCATGCTAAAATTTTCGTTCTGTATTTTGACATGCGACGAACTGGCTATTTCAACGTTCCAGTGTATTTCCAAACAGTTGAAAGGCTGTCTCATCAGTGAATAATGTCTGTGATCAGTCATCATTCAAGTGTTTCCTTGCCTATTCAACCCTTTTCTCCTTGCGAACTGTTGTTAGCATAGGGGTGACTTATGGAAGGCTTTTTTTATAAACATGGTTTGATAAATATCTCGAGATCATCAGGAAAATAAATCTTACATAAACCTACGTAAGGTTCAGAATTGGACAGCATTATGTCGATATTTTGGTAATTCTGTTAACATTTCCGCATAATGCTGGTCAGTTTTAAACACTGCGTAGGTTTACATGAGATTTATTTTCCTGATGATAGTCATGTGAGATACCTCTATTCCTTTTGCTGCTACTTTGTTTACCATAATCTTACGGAAACTGAAGTATCTCTTCTGATGGTTTGTCCAATTAAACGTGCAGCATCTGCTTTGGTCGACCATTACTGCCTTTGTGCAAATTATTGCCTGTCTTTTCGATTTTTTTAATGTTAAAATTGATAGGAGAAAGGAGAATATTTGTCAGAGTGTGAAATTCTTTAGCAGGTCTCACGCCCTGGTTCCAGATATGTAATAAAGTCTAACGTTGTCATTCTTGGTCGGATGTGGACATTTTGAAATCAATTTTTACAACAATTGAAAAATAATAAACAAAACAGATGATCTAAAAAGATAAATTTATTATTATTATTAGTGTTTGTTTTGAAGGTTACGCGACACGAATTGGACTTAATTCGAGTACAAAACATGCATTTAAACTACAGGGATAATTTTCCAATTATTTTTGTTACACACTGTATATAATCATGATTATTATCGATTTCATTTTTTTGGTTAGTATTAAAAAATCCATTAGAGGGAGAAGGTGAGAGTAAAGGTAATGAATGACCTGTTATCATTACAGTACAACCTCGTTTCAATGACACAACACATAAGAAAATTACGTCTAAAATTCGTTATACTAAAATTACTAATCGCGTATCATCAAATTTTATATGTAAAGCAACACAAATTTAGTTATAATTCGTTGAAACAAGATTCGTTAAAGCGAGGTTCGACTGTACTAATTATTGAAAAATTTACCTATATGAACTTTTTTAATAATCATGATGATGATAGTATTAGTGATTCACAACAAGTGCACTAAACACATCGTTAAAGCTCCGAACGGGTTTGGCCCGAATGTTTTAAAGGTCAACTCGAGACTGGCCCGAAAATTTCGGGTTGATTTCGGGTTAATATTAATATTAATAACAATAAGAAAATTTTGTGATTTACGTAAATTTAGAGTTTTATTCACTTAATTTTATCAATTAAATATAAAAGACAAAACAGTTATATTGGTTTAAAAGCTGCAATTGGTGTTATGCGTGACGCAAAACACAATTCGTGATGCAAGATGTAACTCAAGGCAATTCGTGACGCAAAACATAACTAAGACAATTTGTGACGCAATACATAATTAAAGACACAAGGCTAGTGTTGGTGGCCGGAATTAACCCATAGTTTAGGCCTACGGTGCAGATCATCTATAATCATTAATTGCTTATAGTAACAATTGGTTAACTTCAACAAAAAAAAATTATATCATTTTAAGAAATTTAACCGATAAGTTTTATTCTTCATGACTCAAGCTTCAAAACTTATTGGCTGGTTTTTTCTTAAACTGAAAATTGGCAGAGCCTTAGCATTTTGAAAATTCCGAATTTTGTTATACATTTAAGAAATTGAGACTAAGTAAATTTCGTGTAACAACTTTTTTTTTCATAGAATATTTTCTACAACATACATTTGATTTATTTGAATTATTTATTTCCCTTTTTTATTAATAAATAGAAGTTCCTTACAAAAAAGTTTAACGAACATATTACATTAAAAGAAAATCCTTACCAAATTTGGTCGTGTGATTCAAAATATTGTAGCACGAAAATTATTGTTGCACTTCTGAGCATAACTTTCAATTTAAAAAATCTATGAAAAGAAAATTTGAGACAATTTTTTTTTTTAGATTAATAGACTCCCCTTTTAAAGCTGAATTGAATGGTGTGTTTTTTAAAATCCAATGTGTGGATCACATAATTTTAACTTTTGAGTATAGATGATCTGCACTAAGGTTTCTGGCCGAAACTGCTTCTATTAGTAGCCGAATTGCCCAAATACTTTGGGCAAAAATTATTTTTTTATAAGCCCAAACTACTTTTTGTTACTAGCCAAAATTGGGCGAAATTATTTTAAAGTTGTTTAAGTTAAAACATATAATGTTCATGCTTATAAAATGTTGAGAAGCCCAAATTGCCCAAACTAGTTTAGGCTTTGAGAAAACAGTTTGGACCAGAAACCTTAATCCGCACTGTAATAAACATTAAGAATTTCGGAATTAGTTAAATTCGGCTCCAAATCTAATCCCAGTAACATATATAATAAATTTGAATTTTCTTATGTTCATAATAAATGGAATTAATGGATGAATATATATATAAAATATTGAGAAAGTAAAATAAATTTGAATTTTCCTACATCTATAATTAATGGATATATATAATAAATTTGAAATTTCCTATGTTCATAATAAATGGAATTAATGGATGAATATATATATGAATTTTCTTATGTCTATAATTAATGGATGAATGTAATCTTTCAAAGTTTCATAAATAGGAGCTTCAATTGCATTGTTGTCAGTAGTTATCTTAGGCCTTTTTGTTCATTTTCTTTTATGATATGTGATGACCTCGAATTATCTATTTTTTTAAATGCTTAATAAAATAATTATTAGCAACAAGTTGATTATAATGTTTTTCACATATAGAATAATTTTCTAAAGAATTAAATAATGAAAATAATTCAGGAAAATACTTAGCCAAAAGTTTTGCTCTTTCAGTTGATTTTTCTCCTGATGCAAAACGCCATTTCTGATTCTCCTTAGTTTCACACTGAACTAAAAGAGTATTTTGATATTTCTCAACAAGATTTCGAATAAGCATGGTAAATCTTTTGATTTGAGTGTTATATTCATCATTATAATTTGTATATATATGATTCTATTGAAAAAAAAAACAATTTCAAGTTTTATTTCTGAAGAAAACTACTTTGTAAAACTTTGGGGATTAGTTGGGATTATGAAACTATATTATTTAATAGTTATTTTTTATGACATAACATAACAGGGGAGTGTTTTCTAAACTCATTTGTAGCATATATGAATTGGTCAAAGATTTCTAGAATTGATTTCCAAATTTGGAAAAAATCCTGACTGCATTTGATGGGTTATAGTGGTGTGCACTATATAATACAATTTCTTAAATAAGGAATAAACACACTGGTCTTGGGGAGATTCTTCTTACACCTAGTAAAAAAATGAATGAAGGTATATATTTTTTTTCTTACACAGAAAATAACTATTTTAAAAAATATGTAGTATTTTTTACATCTAATTTAATATCTTGCTTTATAATAAAATAATACTTAGTTAAATTCTATAAAGGTAAATAAATATTTTACAACACAAAATAAACATCATCTAATTAAATAATTTGTTTTTTTATTT